TTTGGCAGTATAAGCTTGGCGTCTTCCCACTCTTTCAAGCGGTGTGATAAATGTGGAGGTAAGATTCCCGCATTTGGTTCCCCTCTTGTTTCCTCTGCTTGGGAGAAGGTCACTTTGTTATGTCCTGTGCCTTCTGCAAATCTATGACCTCTCAGGCCCAGAAGAACCGGGACATGAGACTTAAAGCGGCCCTTTAAAAGAATGCCTTGAGACATTCTTCTGCTCCCGCTTTGAAGACCCCTTCCACCTCTTGGTCTCAGCCTTCCGAGAAAGAGAAGGAAAAAGAAAAGGACAACGAGAAACCTCCTAAAAACCTGGATCTGAGCATGACCACTCTTCTGAGGAGCCCTGGGCCAAGAAGACCTTAGATGATAAGGACTCTTCTCCCAGACGGGACACCACGAAAAAGATCTGTAGTTTTGTGAAACATTTAGCCTTCTCTGTCAGAAAGTTCTAGGGCCACAATAAACTAGTTTTCCCAGAATTCCCTAGCATTGAGCCAGGGCAGTTAAAGCAGTCTCAAAATGGGTTATTTCTGCAGTGTGTTTTGGACCTTAGAGGGTGTTTTGGCAGTTCCTTCCTCTGAAATATAGCCTACAGCACCTGGCACTTTGGTGGTCTCCCATCTTACCACTAATCATAACTGGTCCTGCTTATCCTCCAAGATTAGAGGGATCTGGTGCTTTGGGGTATTTAGGCCCCTGACTTGTACCTATACCTTAGTGACATATCTGTAAAGTTTCATATAGTCCTTTCCCCTCTTTTATGCTTTTGCTTCCTCATCTCAAATAAGATTTTTTTGCATGTGCTGCAGTTGAATTTTCCCATCTGAATATTACATCCTTTTTTATATTTAAACAAGCAACATTAATTTAATGCAGCCTGATTTTTCTACTTTGCAGACAAAAGGTACCTTGTACTGCTGGAGCTCTGGACGACAGTGTTCTGGCTCTTTCTAAAATAAAAAAAAAGACCTCTTTGTTTTGCCTGGCATATAGTAGACGTGCCTTGGATGATCCTGTGCGTGCTCAGAGAATAAGCTTTGTCGGTGAGGAGAACCCTAAAAAATGGCAGGCACAATTGTGGTTTTTGTTTGTAAAGGGTATTGTGCTTGGTTTCTTCACAAGAACAGAACCTTCTTGTCTGCTGAAACCTGCTAGAATAAATATATTTCCCTGTTTAAAAAAAAGGATTCTGGAATAGAGAGCCTAGAATTTTTTTTCAGTATCTCAATAAAAATAAATCCAATTGTGCTGAAACATTTATAGAGAGGAATATAGTCCTCAGATTCCTCTATACAGTTGAGGTATATCCTAGAACACAAACCCATTAATGTGGGCTATTCAGCCCACATTTAAGTATTGATGAATGCCCCCACATTTGTATTAGTAGTGTTAACAATGTAATGTAAGAACACGTAGCCTATTTTACACTTATTCCAGCAACACAATGCCCTTTTCTAAGTGAAGCAAACAGAAATGTAAAAAGTATTTAAAGTGTCAGGACCATCTGCACTGTACTCTGCAGTCTGATACCACTTTAACTGCCACGGTGCCAATCTACAGAATCCTGGGATTTGTAGTTTTGTGAGGCATCAGCACACTTTGGCAGAAAAGGCTACACTGTGTAAAACTACAAACCCCAGGATTCCATAGGATGGAGCTACAGTACTTAAAATAGTGTTAAACTGCATTATTTCTACACTGTAATTGCACGACCAAGACATTTCACAATGAAAGCCATGACATGGGTGGCCAAGCAACTTCAGTGTGTGGTCAGGATGGCAAAAGTTGTTAATGAGGAAGAACAGACAAAGCTAGGAGTGTCTGCAGCACTTTGCTTTTGCTACTGGGAAGGGGCAGACTGGACTGCCACCTCTCTTTCTCCCCTCTACTGAGTTAAATGAGTGTAACCTACAAATCCCAGAATGCCACAGTATTGAGCCCTTGCAGTTAAAATGGTGTCACAGTGAAATATTTCTGCAGTGCAGATGAAGCCACTGTTAACCCCATTGGAAGCTGGGATCCAGTTTGGTGTAATGTAATGGCAGAGCCTGGAGATCTCCAAGAAAGCTGCAGTTTTGGAAATACCTTTCTTATACCCTGTTGCTTATTCCTCCTCCTTTTTCTTCTATCTCCACCCCTCCATCTTTCCACTCCTTCCAACCAAAGTCTCCGCCCTGAAAGGAGGAAAGAGAGAGTTGCAAAAGGCACACATACAGCTGTTGCAACAACAACAACAACTGGGAGGTGTGGTTGTGGTTGTTTTTTTGAAAGCCAGGAAGCTTTGTGAAGAGGATCGGTGAGTCTTTTCTCCCCTCTTTTCAATCCTTGTGACCTAGATCTAGAAAGGAAATTTTGCAAAACTAATAACTCAATAAGGGAGGGAAGAGAGAAAAATAAATCTGGGGGAAACTGAACCCACTTGTCTAAATGGAGTAAGGAGTCTCTTTCAGCAGTAACTCAAAGTTGGAAGACAGATTATTTTTTTAAGTAGGGATGTTGGGGTGTGTGTGGATGTAATGAAGTTTGTAAGATAAAAAAGGAATGGATGTAATGACGTTTGTGAAATAAAAAGAAAGGGAGAGGGTGGAAACCCACCCGGGTTGTAAAGAGTTGTAAAGGAGAAAAAGGGAGTGATGGAAGAGAATCAGGGATCAAGAAATAAGGAGATTAATTTGGGATCATTGTGGTTTCCTGCTTTTGGAGGGTGCAGACTAAAGACACAAAGTGTGCTGATGTGTATGGACCTTATCCCACGCTGCTCTCAAAAGTGGCAAGAAACCGATATGAGCATCATCGCAGTACTATAGCGCTAGTATAATATGGCGCTAGCGCTATAATAGCGCTATGGATAAGGCAGCGATATTGCAATGCCCGATGAAAACAGGCATACAAAAGAACCCGAATGATGCTGCATTCCGAGCGGTTTCTTGTTGTATTCTGAGCGACGTCGTGGGATCACCCGGAAAACTATAGCGCTATAGCGCCTGATTCTTAGTGGATTCTTGCTGCTTTTGGCCCCGTGGGATAAGGTCCTATGAAAAAGAGATATGAACCCCAATTTTAATCCCTTTTGGGGATGGAAAGATGAACCCTAGGGGAATAATGCCCCTCTTGTTAAAAGAAGTGTATCGAAGAGGTATATAATTCATCCCCCTGCAAAAAATATTCAAGCAGTGGGGCAGATGCTTTGGGGACAAGTCAATGAGGCTGGGTGTTGGAGACATTGGCATCTCTTGCATTAAGCATTTTAGGACTATTGTTATTATCAATATCCCATTTTACCCCTAACATTGGGATGGGGTTCATTCTGTTTCAAAATGGGGCTTCCTCCAAAGTAGTTGTCCAACTCCACACATGGTGGTCTGCCTCCAAACCATTTCTGATTTATGGCAACCCTAAGGGGGTTTCTTGGCAAAGATTTGTTCAGAGGGGAATTTGCCTTTGCCTTCCTCTGAGGCTGAGAGAGTGTGATCTGTCCAACTTACCTGGAAATAAGGGAAATAAAGGAGGCATACTCCTTACTTAGTAAGGCTCTTTAAAGGCTGAATCGAATGATTACTCTCAACTGGAGCAAACCTATTAAAATTAATGAGAATTTGGTCTTAGGTAAGCTTTATTTATTCAGTGGGTCTACTCTGGTTGGGAATAGTAATTGGATTGTTGTGTAAGATTTCAGCGCCTCACCTTTGAATGCATTTGGAACAAGCAGAGAAACGTGTTTGCGTGGACTTTGAACAACAGCCAAACTAGATTACTGTTAATATATGTTAATGCAGTATTTTATTTATCGTGTGTAACTGTTTTCTGTTTCTTGGGTTTTTTCCACTGTTGGGGTAAGATGAAGAATGGCAGCGGGTTAAAGTGAAGGAAAATAACAGCCATGGAGGAGACCACACAGGGCCCAACTTCCGCTCTGGGTTCGAAACAGAACAATAAGGTTGCCTCCCTTTGCAAAAGGGAGGAGGAAAAGGAAAGCCTGTGACTTCCTCTCAGCCTTGCTCCCAAGGGGGTTATACTTTATATTTACTCTTCTTTTCTAGGGTTGTGCCTTTAATAGCCACTCAGCAGGCAAACATTTTTCTCTAGAAGAAAGGTACTACAGGTTGAGTCTCCCTTATCCAAAATACTTGGGATCAGAAGCATTTGGATTTGTTTGGGATTTTGGAACACTTCTATTTGCACATACGTACATAATGAGACGCCTTGGAGATAGGACCCAATCTAAACACAAAATTCATTTGTTTCATATACACCATATACCCATAGTAAAGGGAATTTTATACAATATTTTTAATCATATTGTGCATGAATAGTTTGTGTACGCTGAACCCATCAGAGAGCAAAGGTGTCACTATTCCAGCCATCCAGGTGGACAGTTTTGGATTTTGGAATATTTTGGATAAGGAAGACTCAACCTGTAGTTTGTAGACTACATCTGTTGTATTTCAGCCTGCAGGAAATTAGAACTCTGGATACTTTTGGAAAATAATTATTTGTTCTAGTTGTCTCTTCTTTCCTTCCAGAAGCATAATGCTTTCTCTATAAGGTTTCCCCCCTCATTGTATTCTCACAACAACCTTGTGAGTAATGGGAAGTGAGGGCCTAAGTCAGTTGGGACTGGAACCTTGGTCAATTTTCCTTCCCCCTGTCAGCTTTGTTTCATAACTCTTTGTATTTCTGTTGTGGGATTTCACATGTTCAAATTGCTTAAGGGGCAATCCTTTACCAAGCTTGGACCATTTGCCAGTTTGGAAGTTGGGAGAACTACATAGTAGTGAGTTTGTGACTGAGGTGCAATTTGAATTGGGAGCTTTGTTTATCAGGATGGCTTGCATGCAACACTTTGTGGTTGTGTTCAGGCTGTTCCTGACTTAGGGTGACCCTAATGTGAAGCTATCATGGGGTTTTCTTGGCACATTTCTTCGAGGGGGTTTGCCATTGTTATCCTCTGAGGGTGAGAGATTGTGACTCGCCCAGCCACCCTGTGAATTTCCATGCTTAAGCAAGGATTCGAACCCTGATCTCCAGAGCCATAGTCTAACATTCAAACCACTACACCATGCTGGCTCTCACTTACAGATAATATATAGTACAAGTTAGTCTCTCATATTTGAATTCCTTGGGACCAGAAGTGTTTTGGATTTTGGAATACTTGTATTTGCATATGCACATGTAATGAGGTATTTTGGAATTGGAACCCAAGTGGAAACAGAAAATTGTATACATGGATGGATTTCAGAATTCCAGATAAGGGAGACTCAACCTGAATGTGATATACTATACTGTATATCTGACTAAACTATCTCACAGGTGTTCTACCTTGCAATGTTTTATAGATGAAAACTGGGACACGTGTGGCCAAACAACATCTGAGTGAAGTGCTGCAACAACCTGCTTTTGCCTGAATCTACAGGGAAGGGTAAGACGGTTCCCCCATTTAACTGAGTACAAACTACTTTTGCACTTTCTATTCAGTTTGCAGCAACTAAAGTAGGCAGAGGAAGAAGGCAGAAAATGGGAGGAGGAGATAGAGAATGGGACATTTTAAAAGCAGTTGAAAAAGTGGGTTGACAGATGATTAATCCCTGGACAGTTGGAAGGAATGTTGTGTTGTTATGCCCTGTCCAGCTGAGAGAAGTGGAAACTTGTCTCAGCCAAACAACAAGAAAATGCCATTTGGTTTTGTCAGTATGGGTAAGATCTGTTTCCAACTTCCTGACTTTTCCAACTTTTTTTCTTGTTAAAACCCCCTTTTTAACTCTACCTTTCAGCATAACATTTAGGCTAGAACAGAAAATCAGTTCAAACATATAATAAAACATATAATAGAAAAGGGTATGAAGAGTGAAAACAAAACCCAAGAGAATAACAAATATTTTATCTGGAGCTGAAAGCTAATAAAACAGGCACCATCTGAGTCATCCTAGAGAGATGTTACTGCAGTTCAGTTTTAACACCTAAGATCTGAACCCAGTTGCTTACTGGCTAGAGTGGAAGCGGAGCTTGATAAAAATTCCCCAAGCATTCCCCTTGGGCACTTGGGAGTTGTAGTCTAAAACCAGCATGATATAGTGGTTTAATGATTCCAGACGATCAGTGTTAAAATCTCCACTTGGCATTGGAAATCCACTGTGACTCCTGCAGAATTAATGCAGTTTGACACCACTTTAACTGTCATGGCTCCATCCTATAGAATCCAGGGATTTGTAGTTTGTTGTGGAACCAGAGCTCTATGACAGAGAAGGCTGAATATCTAACAAAACAACAAATCCCAGAATTCATTAGCATTGAGTCATGGCAGTTAAAACAGTGTCGAACTGCCATTCTACAGTGGAGATACAGCCTAGGTGAACATAAGCAACCACACTTTCTCAGCCTCAAAGGAAGGTTGATCCCCTCTGAATGGATCTTGTAAAAAACAACAATACCCTGATAGGTTTCCATTAGTGCAACGATAAATCAGAAGACACACAGTAATTTTTATACGGCTGAAGATGCCAGCCACAGATGCAGGCAAAACGTCAGGAATATATTATTGTAGAACACGACCTCACAGCCTGAAAAACCCACAAAAACCGATGGATGCCGGCCTTGAAAGCTTTCGACTTCACAATTTTTATAAGCTTGATTGGGAGAGCAGGAGTTCCTAGAACTGGCCTCTGAAGAAAATCTAAGAGCAAACAGGCACACCTTAAAGTATCAAGACAATTGGTGCTGACATAAGTGAAAGCTTATGCAGGTTAAACCCACCATTGTTCCTTCAGGCAGTGGAGATTTTTTAAAATATGTGGCAAAATGCGTTGGGTTTGATAACTTGTGAGCTTGTGTAGTACCTAACATGCAGGATGAAGACACAAGTGTTGATGTGCACCTTCCAGTTGTTTCCAACTTAAAGTAAGCCTATCATGGGATTTTCTTGGCAAGATTTGTTCAGAGGAGGCTTGCCATTGCCGTACTCTGAAGCTGAGAACATGTGACTTCCTTAAGGTCACTCAGTGGCTTTCATGGCCAAATGGGAATCGAACCCTGGTCTTCAGATTTGTAGTCCCGGGTAACCTAGGCTGAAATCCTGAGTCATCCACAAAGCTCCCACTGGATACCTTTGGTCCTTCTAACAGCCTGACTTTGGGTGCATCTACACTGTAGAAATAATGCAGTTTGACACCACTTTAACTGCCATGGCTCAATGCTATGGAATCCTAGGATTCTTAGTTTTACAAGGTCTTTATCCTTCTTTGCCAATAAGTGCTGGTGCCTCACAAAACTACAAATCTCAGGATTCTGTAGGATGGAGCCATGGCAGTTAAAGTGGTGCCAAGCTGCATTATTTTTAGAGTTTAGATGGTTCTATGTATGCAAACTTTGTTTTATGCAAAGAATTATGAAAATGTTTGCATATAAAATTACCTTCAGGCTATGTGTATAAGGTGCATATTAAACATAAATGTCATGCTTAGACTTGGGTTCCATCTCCAAGATATCTCATTATGTATATGGAAATATTCCAAAATCTTAAAAAGTCTGAAATCCCAAACATTCTGAATAAGGGAGACTCGCCTTGAGTATTAATCTTGGTATATATAAAAAAAAAAGGCTGTATGACATGGTGGGACATAATGTGAAGTGGAGGAGTGTGGTGGGAAGGGTTTTTCATTTTTTAAAAAAGTAGATGATCCATTAGGTGCATTTAGTGTGGGAAGGTAATGAATGAAATGTATCTTAATTGTTAGTCTTGTAGCTTCTTCAATTAATTGCCGGTTGAATCATCAGAATCAGTTCCTGGAGCTTTGTTTGTTCACCACCTTTAAAACCAATGGGCTAAATCCAATTCTTAATCTCAACTAAGGCAGAGAATTAAATTAATGGAATTTGTTAAATCAGCAGTTGTGTAAATGCTGTTAGTTTGCTAGGCCTACTCTATTTGGGGCGAACAACTGGATTCAGCCGAAGCAGATGATAAAAAGATTTTCTGAGAAGGGCTAATTCAGTGGTCCTACCGCAGGAGCGTTTTAAAGGTCCAGAGTGGGAAACAGGCTTGTTCACACTACATAATTATAGCATCATGATTCCACTTTTATTAACCTCTCCTTGTAACCCCGCTTTGGGAGACATGAATTACTGTACAAAGCAGCCCTCCGAGTGCCAGTATATTTTACATACCAGTAAGTAGCAGATCAGAAGTGTTCCTTTTCCCTGCCACTGGTAGTCTGGCCATAATCCACAAATATTTCAGACTGAAGTCAGAAGTGGAAGCAGGACAGAATCCTCTTCCCAACATCAGTCCCTGCAAGTAGAAAGCAAGCATCGTCAGGGGGACTGTGCAACCCTAAGGACTACATATTTTCATTAAAAGTGTTAAGACTCTGTGGGAAATATTCTGTGTTTTCCAGGATAGGGACATGGAATCTATTTCTAGTTGACTGCAGCTCTCCCTTGGCAGTAATCCATCAGGCAGTAAGCCAGTACTGTATTTTCTCCCTTTTTGCTCACTTTCCTCTTAGCTATTTCTCACACACCCCTTTTTCTCTCTTGCACTTACATGTGTGCACATACATACTCTTTTCTTTCTACTCCCTTTTCTCTTTTACTATCCCTCTTTCCTTTTACCACTTCCTTTCTCTCACACACTAACATTCTGCCACCCACACAACTCTTTTTTCCATTTCTCCCATACACATTTTCATACTTTTCACTTTGTCCCCTTCTCCCTCCACTCATTCTCTTTTATTCTGTCTTGCGTCTCTCCCCTGTCATTCCACTGTTCCCATTCCATCTTCGTCACTGAAGTTATCAATAGAAAAACCTCCTACAAGCACCACCAATAGTACTTATATTTCCATCTTGGACTGCCTCTGCATTGCAGAAATAATCCAGGTTGAGACCACTTTAACTGTCATGGCTGAACACTGTGGCATCATGGGATTTGTAGTTTGGTGGGGCATGAGAACTGACAGGCTGCATGTGCACTGCAGAAACTATCCAAGTTGACACCTTTAACTCCCATGGCTCAATGCTATGGAATTCTGGGAGTTATAGTTTTTATGAGACATTTCACCTCTGTCAGATAGCTCTGGTGCCACAAAAAAACCTCCAATTCCCAGGATTCCACAGCACTGAGCCGTGGCAGTCAATGCAGTGCCAAACTGGATTATTTCTGCAGTCTCGCTGCAGCCTTGAGATCTTAATGTAGTATTAAATGCCTTGACAAGGCCACCATTTGAACCATTTAAGGAGACATATTTAAGGTTATTATCTTTTAAGGTTGTGTCTTTAGTGGCTGATACTTCAGTTTCGAATTAGCATCGTTGTTTACCCCAATCTTAAGACATCCTCTTGAAAAAAGGTGGCATTCTTTAGATG